TCTGTCTATCTATCTATCTATCTATCTATCTATCTATCTATCTATCTATCTATCTATCTATCTATCTATCTATCTATCTATCTATCTATCTAACATACCCCCAGGTATAGGGTTATTGAGTGACGGATACATCTGACCCTGTCTCACAAGCCGACCAGTCTGTAGCTCAGGGGGGAAGGAGTGCAGGGCTGGGTTGTCTACCTGGGGCAAGGCAGGCCCAGGGTTCCAATCCCAGAGGGATAACGGGGTGTTTGCTGTTTGTTCCAGTCCTTTGAAGAAAAAAAATAGTGTCTTTTTTTTGTTGTTTTGTTGTTGTTGTTGGTTTGTTGTTTTAAAAAGAATATTGTGGTTTTAAAATGTGTATACTTATATATACAATTATGTATGTGTGTTTGTGTGTGTGTGTTTTAAGCTTTAGTACGAGTTTTACGGCACTTGCAACACAATAAGGTCATATCATATAAGTGCCAAAGATTAGAGGTGTTACAAGAGAGTAACAAACACAAAAAAGAGGGGAGATCAAGACGATAGATGCTTGATAGGAAAGAAGAAGCAAACCACACCAGAGCACCAGCCAACCACCTGCTGTGTGTGTGCGTGTGTGTGTATGTGTGTGCGTGTGTGTGTGATTGTGTGTGCGTGTGTGTTTGTGTGTGTGCGTACGTATGTGTGTGGGAGAGTATGCGTGAGTGTGAGGAGGGGGGTTGGTGGGTGTGTTTTGTCAGTACTATTGTCGTTAATGTGTTGGGGGGTTTTTTTTTGGTTATCGTTGCTATTTGTTTTGTTTCAAACAAGCACACGCAAAGAAAAAGGCGGACAGACAAACAGACAGAAAGTTGGACGGATGAACGGACAGACAGACGGACTGACGGACGGACAAACAGACAGTAGACAGACACGTTTTAACAGCTAACCAGCAAACTTTCCCTGTGGTTCCACTGACACCACGTCATATTTTGTTTGGAAGTGCGGGACTAGATCCGGGTTGTTATCGCCCTTTGTTATTCCGACTCCGTCACCACTAGAGTTGTCGCCCTTTGTTATTCCGACTCCGTCACCACCAGAGTTGTCGCCCATGTCGAACCGTCCGCTCGGGAATTTCTCTCCCTCCTCTGTCGTCACTGGAGGCATCAGAAATCTTTTGGTCCTTAAAGATTTGGATTTCCTGTATGCTTAGGTTGAAAAAGAAATGGAATGTAAGAATGAAATGCATTTTTAAAATAAACAAAGCAAAAGCAATCAAAACAAACAACAACAACAACAACATCAACATCATCATCATTGCCTTTCTCACCCTGGATCAGGATATAGGACACGAACAAACACTCTCCACCTTTCCCTATCCTGGGCTAGTCGCTTGATGTCACTCCACGTCTTCCCACTTTTTTGTACATCCATTTCTGTGACTCTTCTCCAGGTTTCACGAGGTCTTCCCCTTGATCTTTTACCCTGTGGGTTCCAATCTAACACTTTTCTTGTTATGCAGCTGCTTGACTTCCT